AATTCAAAAACGTTGGAAAGTAACTTACCAACTTTGACATTTTCAGAAATGCTTTTCAATGTCTGTCTACAGAACACATGCATGTCGTTTATTATGTGAAGATGAACACAGCAAGTTAAATATATTTTTTTTAGTGTCCAGTATATGACTGACAATATAGATAAACGTATCCAGTAGTTAGAACATATCAATATAATACATTTTCAATACTTCATTAAAGCATTCGTGAAATGTGACAACAGAACTAAGAACATACGCTCACTGCACAGACTCTTCTGTCTTCAAAATCTTACTCACCCATTGAAAAATGTACAGAAATTTTGTAATGAACATATGCCAAGTTTCATAATTATAGTACATCAGCAAGGAATTCAATTGCTATAATTGTGAACTTGAATTTCAAAAAATTTCTTTTCCACAGTAGGAATAAAAGTAATATAATACTTATATTTTTATGGTATGCGGATTTCAAAAAGATAAAATCCCTGAAAAGCATTCCGAGATAAAATCATGTCTAATAAACAGTGTCAATAACATATCCGGGCTCTGCAGACCCCCCCCCCCCTTCTACTCATATGACCATACACCAAAGAAAAGGAAAGTTCCAACTGCAGAGCATCAACAAGGAAGAAAAGAAAAGAGACAAATGAATATATTATATATCATGAAAAAAACCCAAACCAAACAAATAAAATATGTACAGACAAAGGAAAACATGTACAGGTCTTCCAATGGTGATTCAAAACAAGCTTCCCAGTGGTAGTTCATCAAAGAGAATATGAATAGCCCATTATCAGGTCCAGTGCCATCCTTGGGAGCAGAAAAAATGAATATTTGGATATAGAGTTTGAAATGAGAGATGCACTTTGACACACTAAAGGTCACGCAGAGTTGTGAAAAAGTAAGACAGACAGACAAAAGCAAAAGATGGATAATAAAAAAGGCAGACTGAACAAAGGCACCCACCAGCCACCCACGTGGTCACCTGGAAAAAGCAAATTTTCCACAGTTTGTGAGGATATGGTTCTCGGAATATGAGGAAAAGCAGTTGTTCAGGCACCTTGCAAGAAATAAGAACAATAACAAACACATAACACACGGTTCCAAACTGTTCAAATTCTATCCCATAAAAAATATTTTGAATTTGAGACAGCTATAAAAAAAAAAAACGAAAAGAAAAAAACAAAGCCCAGTGACCTGTATGACTTTAAGTAAGTTAAGTCTTAAGATTAGAAAAATTACGAAATACGTTTGCAAAACAGTTATAAGTGTTGGCTTTTCAGGCAAGCACCATACAGCCATAAAAGTAAAAGCTTTAAGAACACTTACAAACCACACCCTTCCTGACAATAATCATCGATATAATAAGATCACTGTAAGCCTTATGAAGATTTCACAAATGAAGATAAAGGGAAGCAGGCTTGGGAGAAAGCCATTATAAAAAAGAACTACAAAGGGCAAAGTACGACAGAGAAGGTTACGACACATCATAAAGCTAACAGGTACAACACTCCTCTAGTTTCATTCACATCCCACTACACAACAGCCTACACCCCCTCCCCCTTCCCTCATCCAATGTCACTAAATCATAGAGAAAACAGATCCCCTTACCCCTAGGTTTCTGCATCATAAAGTTAACAACAATTTTGTTCTTTTTCTGAGTTAAGCAAAAACTCTTCACCCCATGCCATTTGAGTCACAAACAAAGGACACAAGCATACCCCAGCCCCAATAACAAAGAACAAAGCAAAAAAGATATTTCCATACTTTTTTTTTTGGCTATGCCATAAAAACCCATTCATTTGTTCACAAGTGAAGTAAATAGGTACAATCAAACCTGCTCTGACGACCAACAGTCAAAGACCATCTTGTCTTTTTTCTTGTTCAAATCACAGTCACAAGAGGACCACCAGTCTATGATGGTTCCTTTTCTCTTCAAATCAAAAACAGGTACAGTATAATCCACTTATATCGACAGCCGATGTATTGACATTTTGACATATCAACATATTTTCCAATTGCGAAATTTTTCCTCCAATATCTTCACTAAACAATTCCTCTTATATAGACTTTTTTTGTTCGGCCCATTCTGCTTTATCGACATGCTTCCTGGGTACCTGGCGAAGCCCATGAACATAAATGGGGGGAAAAAGCCACGCTAAGGGTCAACGCATTAGTTCTTCATTAAGTCCGCATACCCGCCAAGTAGCCTATTCGACACACCAGGCTTTAGTAGGTTATGTAGGGCCTACACAGTGTAATCTCCAAACAAAGTACAGTGCCTCACAGACGTGAGCATCTCGCGCGCTGGGCGTCATCTCCCTACCCCCACTCCCGATCGCTCACTCCCTTTCCCCATCCCATTCTCAGTCTGTCCCTGGCAAGTGCCACGGTCAGCGAGTCACTACCTCGCCTTTGTAGTGTGCGCCTCGCGTTGCTCGGTCTTTGGTACCTTAACTCTAACCCCCCCTCCCTCTGCCTCTTGTTAGTTTCACCGTGTAGTTGTGTAAGAATCTAGGGAAGCAACCAGCTTAAAAAGGTAGTGTTGTTTTTTTACCGCAGACCACCCCTTATTTTTTCCTCTTTGGCTTTATATTTCATTTATCTACAATTTTATATAAATATATTGACATCAAATCCACTTCCCTGAGCATGTCGATATAAGCGGATAATACTGCAGTCATTTTGAAAAGGTCCAACTGTATTGGTTATCAAGTATAATGAGCACGTAACAAATATATCGGCTTTGATATTTTGGTCATAACGACAACACACCACGTAAAGCATTGTTAGGGTTAAATAGACCCTTAGGTATACAATTATAATCACATCGTACTGGGGGCAAAACAAGGGATATTACTAGAAATAGAAACCCAAGCGGCGCCTTCCAACCTCCTGTTTACAGTCTCATCATAGTATATGTTAGATTTCTCTGGAGTTAACACACTAGCCACGATCAGATACCACACAAAATGTAACAGCCAGCAATTTCAAGACTCTTGAAAGAAAAACCCCACACATCAATGTCATTGCTAGATACAAAAACAGGAGAGGGTTATTTTTTAAGAATAAGGAACAGTCATAAATATTGAGCTAAATGCACTGTAAATTGCACATTCTTGTTCATGACAGCAGCAAGCCTCAGATTTTGGTAAAAAATAAGGACAAATAAACCTTACATTATACTTATACTGTCCTTAACCACAGCGTAATACAATTCACCATTCGCTGCCATCAGAGAAAAGTTGTTTCCCTAACAGCCTTTTAGAATTTGGATTTGTAAAAGTTTTCTTAATCCAAATCAAGCAAGTTATTGGTTGGGTAACAAAAAATGTATACAGGAGTTAAATGGACTTGGCAGGTTCTTTATACTTTGGTTATTCTCATATTCTTAGGTCTGCTTGACTTCTGAAATATAGGCCATTCTATACTATCACAAAAATCTGCTTATGCAATAGTTTTGAGACTCCGCAAAGAAGCAGGTCCAACTGACTGCACAATCAGGAAAAAACCCCAGAGATGCACACACACTTGACTGAAATATGCAGCAGCCATACTTAGTCCAAAAGAAAACTCCAGGACTTCATGTGAACAAAACAGATCCTCACCACCAGAAAGGCAAAAATAGAAGAGCTACAAAACCCATTGTGCATGCTTTTCTATTGTGTCTATGATGATGCAGACGCACTGCCCTGAACTGTTCACAATGTAGGAATTTTGCCTGCAGCTACTTTCACTTCTTATATTAAAAATCACTTGTACTGATAAAGCATACGTATGTAAATACTGGCACTTGAAAGTAAACTTGATGAGTGTAACAATTCATTTCAAAGACACACAGTCCCAGAAAGAGACACAAACCAGGCATCTGTTCTTCTTTGAGAGCTGGAAACTCGTCAGTCTTAGCAAGCACGTTTCATCCAATGACAGTTGGCCATTGATCTTTCTTAATTTCCAATAAGCTGTTTTGTTTTGGATCAAGCCATCTTTTTCGGCAAAGTTTTATAGCTTATGGGAGCAGAAGGGAATTTTTTCTGTCAGATAACAATAGCAGAAATTTGCTGAACAGTAATAGTAGGTACCAGAAACTAAATTTTCAAAGTAGCTGTATGCCAAATTTATCTGTTCCATTTGAAAGGCCTATATCCACTGAGCATTTTGGTACCGTACTTTAACCTCTCAGTCAATTTTTAAGAAAATGGTAGTTGTTTAAAATTTGATCAAATTTGTTAAATTCAGTCGACTGGCAGCAACCCCATGTTCAACAGATAATAAAAGAGTACCAAGTGCACTAAACATCTCCACATTAACAGAGTACAATTACTATAACAAATATACGGAGCCTATTTTTTTTAAAGACTGTGAGATCATTACAAATCAGTATTTAATCGCTTCAAACACGATGATCTGTTGTTATTTCGACAAAAACACCGAGCGTTGACCCCGCCGGCGCCGCACCGGGCCCCGCGGCGAGCTAGTCGGCTCTATACTGTAGTGTACCCCACATGCGGGGTCACGTGCTTTCTGAGTCTCACGGAAGGATTGATACAAAACAATTCCAAGCTAAATACTTTATTCTTATAGGCAATAAACTGATCTTTTAATTGATTCTTTTTTGGATCTGGTATTTTGCATATTTCATGTAAAAAAATGATCTTTAAAAATTCTGATGGTAGTTTTAAAGGCTTTCTATTTAAACACCAACAGCCAAATATATATATACGTCAGGAAAGCCCGTTCAACGCTCTACAGTTCTCCACCAATGAAAAGACGGTATTTAATCATCCCTCGTTCCGCAAAGCATTTAAATGCACACGTGTCAATTTATTTTTGAACCGGCCAACCAAGCATTCTAACTGCGAGGGGTTTCGCTTTCCTTGGCGATTCTCCAGCTCCTAATAATCGGACATATAAACAACTTACACCATTGTAACGAGGAAAAGCTGAACTTGTACAAGGTGTACGGCATTTGGTGTTTTATAGCGAAAGAGCAAAAAAACTGCAATCGGAATTACCCCGATTTCACGGATACAACGCGGTCGGAAGGCCGTGAGGCCGTGTTTACGCTACCTAATAACAGTGAGGAAAAATGACATGCCTGAAGATAGGATAGAAAAAGCATTTTGTATATATTGGTAATTGATGTAGCAGGTCACCGAAGAGTGGAGAAGATTGCTTTTTCTTTACCATTGCTGGAAAAGAAACAAAGGTGAAGCATGTTTTCCCCATTTACATTAAAAGCACTGCACTTGGTTTCACAACCACAGAACATTTACAAGCCAAATATTTAGATTCCTCTCATTTTGATGGACATTTCTTAGTTACAACAACTGTTTGACCTGTTCCCTGAGTAATCATCGACACCGTCAAATGTGGAATCTTCAGTGGAGTTTGTGATAGAGGTCGTTATGGACATGTGCTCACTAGGCTGTTTCGCTCCGCTGGGTAGAGACAAAATGTGGTCCACAAGGAAATTCATCGCATCATCTGACGGCACAAAGAGAAAAAAAATCATTGAATGAGCCTAAGCATCTACATTCCCGCCATATAATTTGGTCACTTCAGCTATAGTCAAACAGAGAGTTAAACAAGGAAAACGGTAGTCCTGAAAGGAAGTGGAAGGAGCAGACTACATTAGTGAAGGTGTCAACCATGGAGAAGTTGACTTTTCCAGGAGTATCATTTAAGGATTGAAACAGGCAGGAGTTTATCAGCGGGTTCAGAAGTACATTGTACATTGACACTATAATGGTCATTTAGTGCTGGGAATACCCAAAACAGACAGGTAGAACAAGAGACGGAAAGACAAGAAGATGGTCCCACAAGTGGTGCTCCCAACCTTTCACAGTAGGCTATGACCAAGGAAGCAAATCAAAACAAGAGGATCAAAATCCACGACAGACAGAATGAGTAAAGGATTACCAAAATCATGATTTGGTCCCCAATGTTGTTAGTAATAGAGAAAATTAGCCAACAATGATGCACTGACATTTTTACCAAAACATGTTTTAATCCTTTACTGTGTTTTATCAAAGAAAGCACCAATTTTAAAAAATTAAAAAATAGGAACAAAAAAAGAAATAAGAAAAAAAGACAAACTAAAAGTGAAATGGAAGAGCAACTTACCAACATTTTGATTTGTCTTGGCTGAAGTTTGGAACCAACCGACAAAATTTTTTTCTTTGCAGAAGGAGTTCAGTTTGTCATGTTCAATACTCACATCTTCAATGTCACACTGAAGAAAAACAACAACAAAAAAAGAGGGGGTGGGGGGTACGTGGGAACATAAAGACTTTAATTACCATATCTTATCAAATACTTATCTAGGAGTTATGTTTACTGGAGGTTGAAGTTGAAACCTTATTGCTTCATTACAATCTCACTGCTTCATTCAGTGGAGGATTCAGGGCTATGTCGTCTTGGAATGAGGTGGAAAAATAACCTTGGACATCCAATATGAGTGTCATTTATGTTCAATAACAGTAAGCAGCACAATATCACACAGAGAAAACAACAAGGCTGATGAAGCAAGAGATGTTCTTGAAATACTAGCTCTAAAAAACTTGGCACATAAGTATACCCGTGGAGCAAATTACGGAATAAACAAAGAAATAAAGACAGAGAGATGGAAAGGGTGGGAAAAGATACCTAAAGCAAAAACATTGAACATACATGTTTCGGTTTTTTTTTTGCAAACTATACCTTATTTGCTAACAATAACACTGGAACAGGTTCCTCATTGGAAAGCATCACTTTGGAGTTGACATCCTCAAGCCACTGGGAACAAAAAACCAAAAAAAATATAAGGTGATTTGAAAACAGGACTGGATCTTAGTCTATTCTTGTCAATAAACAGTAAACTTAGACATTCATTTGCTATTTAAAAAAAAAAAAAACGACATCTTTTTCTTAGTATTGCTAGCTGCACAGTGTCATGTAAACTTTTTTTTAATTGTCAGAAAGTAATCCAATAATTTGGACTTACGTTCAATATTGTCATCAGGTCTTTTTAAATTATTGTAGAAGTTTATGCCCCTTTTAATACTGAAACATTATTTGAGAAGCCAGACTCCTGTATTTAATAACCACCTCATATAGGATTGAGCCAAGAAGGCTGAGAGCCTTGATAATTCCTCAAACAACCTTATTCTCAAGTACATCCTAGTGGACATTCAAACAAGGGTAACATGGATTATAGCTAAACATGCTACCAACTGAGCAAACGCCATAACTTTAAAGAGGAGTGTGGAAACAGAGAATACAGTCAGGAGAATGGACAACGGCCAAGTATAAGCAATAAATACAATCCAAAGCATTATATGTAACAATAAACATAAATCTTCTCCACTTACAACACTAGAAAAAAAATTGTTCACATTGGGAATTCTCTAAGAGATTGTATTCCTAAGCCAAGGGCTTTACTACAAGTTGTTGGAGTTTTTAAAATGAGAGAGAGAGAGAGAGAGAG